TCTAATTTTGAATTCATAGTGTAAACACCAGCAATAAAAATTTGCTTTCTGTGTGTGTTTATTGCAGTTCTCTTTGGCACCTGGCTTGATCAGGTCAAAACCTTGTTGACCTACAAAGACCAGACAATTTTTCTTCTTCCAGCCCATGATGAATTGCTGAAGGTGAATACCTTCCCCCCCCAATCAAAGCATTTCTTTTGACCTTTGTTCCTCATTTCTACCATTCAGGTGCACATCCTTTTGCTGCCAGTCTTAGTATCAGGCCCTGGCAATCCAGGTGCAACCCATGGTATGTATCTCATCTTCCCGGGACCTACAGGGCAGCATTCTCTGCATCTGCCCATTCCTTGGTAAGAACATAGGGTATGGTTACACTGGCAACAGAAGGTGATCTAATCTGGGTTGCTTGGAATGTTTTGGCACAGTGGGGCTTGATTAGATTAGATTGGAAATTGCTCCTGCAGCCTCTGTAGTTGCAATCTAGTCAACCACATGTTGGAGTTGGATTGCTCCATTTTAGTCCTTTTGCCTTCTCGCTCCTTGCCTCCTGTCTTCTCTTTTGTAATAGCTGTCAGCTAGTTGGGAAACAGCCTGCTTCTTTTTGCTTGTGCGTAGGCATTAATGCTCAGTTTTTATACACACAGTGCCATGTTTCAGCCCCGCATTTCTTTTTTTTTCTTAATTTTTTATTTTTTTGTAAGTGGCATAGCGTTGCATTGTTTTATTGCTGAAGTACCCTAAGTGATCCTTAGGCTCTCTTCATTTCTTTAAAAAAAAAACATTACTGCCTACTGTACGACTGTTATATAGTCTTGACAGATGTTGAGCAACATCAGCTTTGTAAAACTGGCAGGCAATAAACGTGTGTAAAGGCGAAGCTGCACAGCCAGGCTGTCATCTTTAGCCCTAGACTTGATATTTTCTTGATATATATAAATTAAAACTTAAATGCCTTCCCCCCCCACTTCAAAATAGGACACAGGGTACCATCTGCAGTTATGGCTAGAACACATCCACCTTTACACATCACCAGTGACATGCAGGAAGAACACTCCCTGTGCAACCCTACAACAAGAAAACCGTGTTCATCAGTCCAAATAAACACAGTTTTTTAATTATTCCAAATAAACAGTAGGCTCCAATCTTAGACCAAGCTGGGTTGGATTGCTCTCCATTAGGGATGGAACACTTTATCAAGAACACAATGTAGTTATCATTTTTCGAGCAATCCCAATCATTCCAGCAGGAGGCTATAGAACAAGATAAACTCCCATGTAGCTGGCCTCTTGAACACATCTGCTGTAGACTTTGTCAACAAGAATGCTTCATTTGAGCGAATGAAGGTCAGCAAGATGTTAGATTACAACCTCATTCCTGATGACATTATGAACCACAGGATTAGCCATTTCATGAGGAAAGGTCAAATTAGAAGCTGAGAAAAGATTTTTTAAAGGTTATATTTGTCGTTCATTCATGTTCTAGAATGAACAAACTGGGTCACATGCAGTCTCTCCACAGTTGTTTCTGCACTGGACTGCCTTCTGCTTCATCTCCTTCCTAATATCTTTCTGCTCTTGAAGCCTCCAGGAGTGTCAATTTTGCATTAATAGATGCCCACCAAACCTCCAAAACATAAAATCAGAAATTCTGACTATCTCCAGTTTTGATATTTCCACCTGATTTTCAGAGCTGGTGCAATCCATAGCCAATTTTTGAGTTTGAACTCCCCCTCCAGATCCTTCAGAGTTGTCCACTACTGTTTTACCAGGTGGGTGCTAGGTTGCTTCTTCCTCTATATCACACAATTCCTCTTCTCTGCTTTTCAGGGATTTCTGGGGACTGAGAGAAACCTCCCACCTCAAAAAAGGCTGCTGTCTTCCACCAGCTATACCATGAATAGACGAAAGATCTTGAGATACTGTTAACCTGGTATGAACATCAACGCCGCCCAGAGTAGATTTTGGTCTAGGTGGGCAGGGTATAAATTAAATAAATAAATGCTGAATTCAAATTTTGGAGAGGGAAATATTAGTGCCTCATTTTCCTTTTGCTAATACACTTGTATACTCATTTTTCCTTTAAGACATAGTCTCTTCTCTTTAACTCAAGAGGCCCTCTTCCCTTTTTGCGCCATGGAATCATCCCTGCTGTGGACACTATTTTAGATTCTGGTGTAAATTCAGGTTTTGAGCAAAGAGCAATAGAAGCTTTCAAAACACGCTGACAGAAAACAGAGCACCCAGCATATAGAAACAGCAGAGTGCGTGGCAAAGCTTTTTTGGACTGTACCATATCTGGCTGTGGTGGTAGTGAGATTTCATGGTTAAATTTTCCCCAACAACAAAAGAAGAGAAGAAGAGACTGACATGTAGAAACCTTAGCCTGCCAAATTTTAGTCTACCTATCTTCTTCACATCGTAGTTTTCTTTCTGCAAAGAATTTTACTGTGAAATAAATAGAACCAAAGATTTCTGCTTTGTCCCATCATTGCTGTAGATAAATCTGTCTTTGTTTTCTGTAATATTTAATATTTTTTAAA